GGAATCCTCCACGGAGGTGATATCGAAAGGTCCACGAGGTCGGCAAACCACGGGCGCCGTGGCCAGTGAGGGGCAATGCAGACCATCTCTGCACCCTCCAGGATCATCTTGCGTATGGTCGCTGGTATTAATGGCAGCGGTGGGAAGGCGTACAGGAGTTGCGCCGGCCACCGGCACCTGAGAGCATCCGTTCCCTCCGATCCCGGGGACGGGAATCTGGAGAAGAACCTGGGGAGTTGTGTGTTCTTGTGGTTGGCAAATAGATCTAGGTGCGGTTGTCCGAACCTCCGGGAGATCTCCTCGAAGAGAACCGGGTCCAGACGCCATTCCGACTGGTCCACCTTGGCTCTGCTCCGGGAGTCTGCCTGGGTGTTTGTCTCCCCTGAGATGTGTTCCGCTCTGATGGAACTCACATTGGTTTCTGCCCACCGAGCCAGAGCCAATGCGTCCTTCATTAGTTCCACTGATCTCGTTCCTCCCTCCTTGTTTACATGTGCCTTGGCTGCTACATTGTCTGTTAGCACGAGGACGTGCCTCCTCGTTACTAGGTGAGAGAACTGACGGAGGGCCAGGTGTATGGCCCGGAGCTCTAGCCAGTTGATGCTGTGTGACAGGTCCTTCTGTCCCCACTGGCCCTGTGCTATCTGGGTTCCCAGGTGGGCTCCCCATCCGAACAGGCTCGCGTCTGTCGTGAGTGTGACCCTGTTCGGTTCCCTGAATATGCTCCCCTTGAGTGTCGTGGGGGATAGCCACCATTTTAGTGATTTCATCACCTGTGCTGGTACCAGCACTCTCTTGTTGGAGGTGCTGAGGTTCCTCCTCTGGTAGGGTAGGAGGAACCACTGCAACTCCCTCGAGTGGAGCCTTTCCCATGGGATGATGCCCATGCAAGATATCATCTTTCCCAGGAGCTTCGAGAGTTGTAGCAAGGGCACTCTCCTGATCTTTTGAATTTGGTGGATTAGCGTGGATATGCTGATCAGTCGCTCCTGGGAAAGGAATACCCTGCACTGTGACGTGTCTATCACCGCGCCCAGGTGTTGCAGTCTCCTTGAGGGAATGAGGTGGCTCTTGTTTAGATTGACCGAGAATCCGTGCCCCTGGAGGGTTCGGATTGTGGTCTCGAGATCTGCCCTTGCTTGCTCCCGAGATCTGGATTGAATCAAGATGTCGTCCAGATAAAACTGAACGCGAACCGGGATCAACCTGAGATGGGCCGCTATTACAGCTAGGATCTTGGTGAATACCCTTGGTGCTGATGATAGTCCGAAGGGTAATGCCCTGTATTGGTAATGCCGACCCGCGTAGGTAAATCTGAGGAATTTCCGGTAGCTGGAATGGATGGGGATGTGTAGGTACGCCTCTATGAGATCTATTGAGGATAATAGATCGTCTTCCCTGACGCTGGCTAGGATGGATTTCAAGGAGTGCATCTTGAACCTCCTGTACTTTATGAAATAGTTCAGGCCCTTCAGGTCCAAGATTGCTCTCCACCCTCCTGATGTCTTTGGGATAACGAAGAGGATAGAATAAAATCCTCTTCCCTCCTCTTCCTTTGGTACCCTCTCTATGGCCTGAATTGACAGGAGGTGGGCTATGGCCGAAGTTATCAGCCTCGTCTTGTGTACTCGTCTGGAGATGGGACATCTGATGAACCGGTTTGGTGGGGGAGAACAGAAGTCTAAGGTCAGGCCATGCCTGATCGTTTCCAGAACCCAGGCGTCGGTCGTGGTCTGCTCCCAGACCTCGATGAAATTTCCTACCCGACCCCCAATGGGAGTATCCTGTTTGGCGTCACTTGGTACGCTTAAAGGATCTGCCTCCCGCTCCCCTATATGGGCGTCTGGACTGGAACTGGCCCCTGGCTCCCGGGCTTTGGCGATCCTGGGTTCGATCCTGTCTCGGGTAGAAGGATCGTGAGCCTCTGGGCCAGTCCCAGGATTGCCCTGATCTAAAGGGCTGTCTCCATTCCCAGGGGCTTCCTGGGCGGGAGCCCTGTCTCCGGAAGTCCTGACTGCCTCTCCTGTCTAACTTCTTTGATGGATGTACTAGGATTTTTTTCTTGTCTCTGCCTTCGCTGACATGTGGGTCCAGAATGGAACCAAATAGGGCTGCTCCACTGTATTTGGACGTCGAAAGACGCCATTTGGACCTCAGGTCTGTCTTCCAATTTTTGAGCCACAGTAGCCTACGCGAGGCCACTGTGGCCGCAATGGATCGTGCCGCATACTTTGTTGCGTACAGTGAAGCGTCAGACACGAATTGCGAGGCCGCGAGGAGCTTAGCCAATGTTTGGTGTACTCTGACCTGGTCTGGAGGCACCGTGCCTTGCAGTTCCCTCAGCCACATGATACTGGCCCTCGCGAAGAATGATGATGAAGTGGCTGCTCTGGCCGCCCAGGCTGCAGCCATATGGGAACGCCGGAGGAGTGTTCAAATTTCTTCTCCTCAGGTCTCAAGACCTCCGCCATGTCTCCTGGAATCGCGGAGGTAGAAAATAAGGAAATCAAGGGGTTATCTACAGTAGGAACCTCTAACATGTTAGAGAAGGAGGGAGATAGGTTGAAAAGCTTTCTTTCCGCGCTGTTAGGTGCCGGTGGGCTTGCAAGTGAGGACCATTGTTCCTCCAGCGTGGTCATAAAGACCTCCGCACATGGAATGTACTTATCTTGTGGAACCTTTTTGGCAAATAGAGGATTGGCCTCCTTGCTTGTTGAGGGCTTCTCATCCTGTACTGATGTTAGGTTGACTGTGGAAACTGCCTTTATCAGGAGTGATTTTAGGAGCGCTGGGTTAAAGAGGCCAGAGCTCGTCGCCTGCTCAGGTGCAGTCTCCTCGTCCTCTGAGAGGGGCATGTCTGACATGTCAAGGTCTACTGAGTCACCCTCTCCCAGTTGAGAGGAAGTTTCAGAGGTGCTGGTAGGGGGTGGCCTAGCCCATCCCTTACGGGGTGTGTGAAAGGCCACTTGCCCCTTAGAAGCCATGAACTGGGAGAATGCATCCTGCATGAATGCATGAAATTGTGCCGACCATATGTTCTCCTGCGCCTTGTCGTTGGGGTGAGGCGCTGGAGTGTGGTCGGGTGACGAAGCTGGTGAGGAGGGATTGGAGGAATCTAACTGTTCAGTTTCCCCAGGAGGAGACCAAGTCTTGAGCACTTCCTCGGCAGTAGGTTCTGTGCTGGGTGCCACCGCTGGGACAGGGGAAACCAAATTTGTCCCATTGGCATTGGTTCTCTGTGCCCTGCTAATTTGCCTTTCTAAAGCCAAATGTCTCCTCAAAGCCTCTCGCTCAGCCGTTTTAGACTGTCCCTTCTGAGAAAGGTGCTTTGTTTTAGCTTTCTTCTTCCCCCCCCCCTCTGATTCAGAAGATCTGCGTTTTTGTTGTTGCTGTGGGGGGGACAATTGAGGGACCTGCGTGACTGAATACGAGACATTGTCTGCCATTGTGCCAGACACCCCGAGTCGGTAATGCCTGGAGTGGGGGAATAAGATACGCAGATCAGATGCAGATGCTTGGGGCTGAGCCCTCCTCTGCCTATACAAACAATGGCCGGACAGACAGGAGTCTTTTGACAGAAGATCCTGCAAGGCAGTGACTAAAGGCCACTATAGGAACAGTCAGGGAAAAATACTCCTCCTCACCTCCTCACCTAGTCCAGACACAGTGCAGTTTATATCTCTCTCTCCCCCAGTCTGTGGCTGTGGCAACAGACCACGATCAGAACGGTTCTCTTTCTTTTCCCTCTTCCTTCCTCTTGTCTCAATTTCTTGAGATAACCTCAGATCATAGCATAAGGGGTCCCCCTTTGTCTGCAGGGAAATGGAGTCCGGGTGGTGGCCCCACCCCCAAGGGAAAAACGGCGGGTAGATCCGCTCGTTCAAAATGGCGAATGGGGAAGAAGCCACGCCTCCCAATGGTAGCCCGGGAATCCACGAGGTTCAAAACAATGGCGGATCTTTGAATTTAGCTATCAGGGAGACTCCTTTAGTCTTAAGAGGGCTGCGCCTCTCCTCTGAGGAGAAAGAAAATTTAGCGCTAGTTCTGCTCTTGTCGGGCTGCTTCTCGCGCCGCTCAGCTGATCTATGCCGAGCGGCGCCGCGGTTTGCCGCTTCCCGCGCGGCTCAGCTGTTTCGCACTGAGCGGCACCTCGTTCTGTCGGCCAAACCACTCAGCTGTTTGGCGGACCCGGAGGGCGACGAGCAACCCGGTGTGAGGTCCCCGCGCCAAACAGCTGCTCGGCGGGCCGGAAATCGGCGAGCGATCCGTTCCCGCTCCAAGCCTCCCGTTAGTCCCTGACGCCCCACTCACGAGTCCGCCGATCCTGGCTGCATCTCTCAAGTCTTATCAGCTGCCAGGAAACTTTTCTTTCAACTGGAGGAAGAGGGGATTCCTTTTCTCTCTCTTTTTTTTTTGAGTTAAATTAGTTTTGTTCTGAGAGCTGCCTCTCGCACTTCTACCAGGCTTCGAGACTGAGTCAAAACTGGGGTCACGCACAGAGGAAGGGGTGTGGCCGAAGTTTTTACCCAGTCTGCCAGGCAGGAAGGCCGTCATAGAACCCATCCATTTGGACTCTACAGCCATCCTGCTGGAGAAATAGCAAAACTAAGATATTGTGATATGGGATTTATGCAAACATCATCCGAACTGCCACTACATATCCAAATATAAAACGAAGAGAGAAAAAACTCATTCATTTCAAGCTTTCATTGTTTGCAATTCCCACTTTATGTCTTGCTGGAATATAAAACAACAGTGCCTTTGTAACCAAGATTGGAAGGGGGAAAAAAGTAAAGAGAATTTGCAGTTATATTTTTGAGACAACAAAAAAAAAGCTGCCACATTAATATACAAGTATTACAGAGACAATTCTGAGCAATGATTGAAAGATTGAAAATAGCATTAGAAGAGTTTAGGTTTTTAAGTGGCAATTGATTATGTCTCTTAAATACACAGAGAATAGGAGTTATGGAACATAAGGATGTCTTGAAGGCAATTGTTTCTCAAGCTTTTTGACTTCAATATCCCTGTTAAACATACTATATACTTGTTCTATAGATGCAAGAGAATTCATTACTTTGGTAAGGACACTAATGAGCTAACAAAAACATCCTGAATGTTCACAAAAGCTTCACTTCCCAAGAGACATACATACACATAAAAATCTGTCTGCAAAACACATCTATCTATATTTGCTTGTGTACTTATGCACACAAAGAAATATATATACATTACCATGCCGTGGTCAAATGTGAAAACACCAACATCGCGCCCGTGATGAATGTGATTTCGTCTTATAATAGGGTTTCCGTGGTTTTTAACCCAAATCCCAGCTAATGCATTATTAGAAATCTCATTATCCTCATATATCCCCTAAAAGGTTGGAAAAGAATGGCTTTAGAATGAGTTAAAATACTTAAGAAAACAATAAAAGAGATAGCAAAAAAGAAAAATGCAAGAAGTGTTACCTGTGCATGATCTGTGATGTAGAGTCCAACATTTTCACAGTCACTTATGTTACAATGCTTGATAGTGGGACAAGCCCCTTGGCCACTAACACAAACTGCAGAACCAACTGAAAATGAAGTTTGTACATATAAAAAATGAAATAAGTGTTTGACTTTCATAATATATGTGAAACAAATGCGACCAATTGTTTTTGCAACTAGAATAACTTGAATAGTTATTGCAATTTATGTAATCTTGGCCTTTCAAAATACAATACTAAGCTAAGTAAATTACTTTTTATAGAAGACAAAGAGCAGTGTAGCAATCTATAGTACTAAATTAAGAATATACAAAATACTCTGCTCTAGAGCTCTGTGGAGTAAGAACACAACAAACCACCTCCTGTTCTGGAGGTCTACCAGACCACTCCCAGAACAGCTGGACTGGGTTGAGCTGTAAGAAGCATAACATTTTCAAGTACTCCTCAGAATGGAACTTTTGCATATCCCTACCATAAATTATCTGTTAAGGACACCTGGGAACAAGTGAAGAAACATTTAAAAAGTAAAGCTCATTAGGCTGAAAGTTCATATTAACACATGAAATTTCACCACCTAGGAAAGCAGGTTCTATTACACACACACACACAATTTAGATATCTACAAATAATATTCGCTACTTAATTATTTCTACAAAGAAATTACTTACCTGTACAAGTACTTCGAATAATACAATGATCTATTATTGGACTGCAGTTGACTGTAATCTCTAAGCAATGGTGCGCATTGTGGTGTTGTGCAGATTTGTCATCAGGGTTAAACTGAAATAACATACAATAAATCCCTTTACTAGCTATTCATTTCTTTCAGTGGAGTAGGTTCAAGACAAGTATTTGCCCATGTTTCTTCTTACCCTGATTGTCATATAACCAACATAAGCATCCTCTGATCCCTCCATGAAGACAAAGGTTGAATCTCTTGTGTTTTCAATAATAACTTTATCTGCTACTTTCCCAGGAGCTTTACAAAAATATAAAATTTGTAAATAAATTACTAGATGAAAATTACAAACCATAGTTTCTAGTTTCTTTAAAAAGTAATAACACAGAATCTGCCATCATTTTTTTTTCAAAATCAAACTTTATATTGAACAGTTCAGATGAGTTTGGATTGTTTTAAGTATATTGAGACATTCAGTCCAGTAACTTTATTTTAAAAAAATTCAAAAATTGTTTTTTCTCATATTTAAATCAGACATTAATTTTAGTTTTAGTAGAAGAAACTAGACCCTCAATCAAAGCTCAAATGACAAACAATGACTTTCATACAGTGGACATGACAAGCAAAGAGAAAATCTTTGTGCTTATTTAAGAAAATAGATAGACAAAAGAAAACCCGCAATGCAATGGATTAATACGACAACAACAGTCATAGTTGTTATTCTAATAACGATCAGTCACCTAACTGAAGAGAGAACAACTATCCATAGAGTTGTCATGAGCCAATATTGACTTCACAACACAATCTCATTCAGGGCAGAGAAACAGAACACAAAACTGATTATAAAGTATTAAAGAGTTCAGGTTGTTATATACTATTGTAAAGTTCTTAAAACCAAAATAAGTTATAATGGTACCTATATCTGCACTAAGTTTAAGCAAATGAATATCTATTTGAAAAACCACCAGGAGCACAAAGTTATAATTAATCATTTGAATTTTAATCTCAGCAGTGCTAATGTACAAACTAGCCAGCTGTAAAAATGAAAGAGTACATTTTCAAGATAAATTCAGCACAGGAAACATGCTGTCATTTTGGAACATTTTTTCCATTAAATCTAAGGAAGGTATCCATTCCATCTGATATTGATAAGGGGATGGATAGGAACAAATGGATAGGTGACAAACAACAGGGAGAAAGCAGAACTATTTAACTCGTGTTTTGCATCTGTCTTTACACAAAGGGAAAAAACAGACCAACCTATCAAAAATAGTGCCATAAAAAACAAAACAGAAACACAAGTTAAGATAGGCAAGAAAATGGTTAGGGAGCACCTGTCCAGCCTAGATGAGTCAAATCGCCAAGGACCAGATGGATTACACCCCAAGTTCTCAAAGGAACTGGCAGCTGTAATATCGGAGCACTGGGAACTATATTTTTCAAAGATCCTGAACACATGAAAACTACCCGAGGGACTGGAAAAGAGCTGATGTAGTTTCCCATCCTCACAAAAGGAAAAAATGGATCGCAGGGAATTACAGAAGACCTAATCATCCTGACCTCAATACCTGGGAAGATCTGTAAAAGATAATCAACATACGAATCAACGACGAACACCTAGAGAAACAAAGTCATTACTAAAAGCCAACATGGTTTGTCAAAAATAGATCATGCCAGACAAATCTTATTGCATTCTTTGACCAAGTGACAAAATTAGTGGATCAGAGGAATGCTGTGGACATAATTTACTTGGACTTCAGTAAGGCATTTGATAAAGTATATCACAACCTACTACTTGATAAGATAGAAAAATGTGGGGTAGACAGAATCACCACCAGATGGATCCGTAGCTGGCTGACTGGCCGTACTCAGCAAGTGGTCCTCAATGGAACCGCATCTATATGGAGGAAGTGTGTAGTGGTGTGCCCCAGGGCTCTGTTCTGGGCCCAGTGCTCTTCAACATCTTCATCAATGATTTGGATGAAGGGATAGATGGGGAACTCATCAAATTTGCAGTCGACATCAAGCTGGCAGGAATAGCCAACACTCCAGAAACAGCTTTTAGACAGAAGTAAATCGGACAGACTTGAACACTGGGCGACTAACTAACAAAATGAAATTCAATGGCGAAAAAGCAAGGTTCTACATTTAGGCAAGAAAAACCAACTGTCAACAAGTACAGCATAGGGGACGCAATGCTCAATATAGTACCTGTGAGAGGACCTCGGAGTCACTAGTTAGACAATCCTTAATATGAGCCAGCATGTGCTGCGCTGTCACAAAAGGCAACACATGCTAGGCTGCATGAACAGAGGGATTAGAATCAAGATCACGTGATTATTAATACCACTCTTTTAATGCCTTGGTAAGGGCCGAGCCACTGGAATCTGCATCCAGTTTTGGTCACCACGATGTAAAAAAAGATGTTTGAGACTCTAGAAAGAGTACAGAGAAGAGCAACAAATATGATTAGGGGACTGGAGGCTAAAACATATAAGGAACGGTTGCGAGAATTGGGTATGTCTAGTTTAACGAAGAGAATGACAAGGGGGGACATGATAGCAGTATTCCAATATCTCAGGGGCTGCCATAAAGAAGAGGGAATTAAGCTATTTTCCAAAGCACCTAAGGCAGGACAAGAAGCAACGGGTGGAAACTAGTCAAGGAGAGAAGCTTCCTGACAGTGAGAACAATTAATCAGTGGAACAGCCTGCCTCCAGACGCAGTAAATGCTCCAACACTGGAAGTTTTGTCAAGAAGAGACTGACGCCATTTGTCCGAATGTGTAGGGTTTCCTGCCCGAGCAGGGGGTTGGACTAGATGACCTCCAAGGTCCCTTCCACTTTACTATTATTATTATTATTATTATTATATTATTATTATTATTATTATTATTATTATTATTATTTCAATCATCGCACAGTCAGCCAGATGTTCAGACTGGATTTGGCATTTTGTCTACCTATCGAGTCCTTACCCAGGACCTGGGATAGGCAGATGTGGATGTTTGATGGTATTACAGGTATCGTCGCAGGATGGAAGCAGTTCCTAGTAAGGCCGCCTTTTTCAATTGACTAATAGCGAATTTGTCAATGCCAATGGTGTTCAAGTGGTGCTCCAGTTGTTTTGGGATTGCACACAAGGAGCCTATGACTATTTGTACTACCCTTGCTTGCTTTTGCCACAGTCTTTCTATTTCTATTTGTAGGTCTTTGTATTTTGTTATCTTCTCCAGTTCTTTCTCTTCTATTCTGCTGTCTCCAGGCACTGCCACGTCCACTATCCAGACTTTTTTGTCTTTCTTATTGACAATTGTTAAGTCTGGGTGTTATGTTGCAGGTGCTTGTCTGTTTGAATTCTGAAGTCCCAGAGCAGTTTAATTTTATCATTTTCTATGACTTTCTCTATTTTATGATCCCACCAGTTTTTGCTTACAGGCAAATGATATTTTTTTGCAGATCTTCCAATGCACCATTGTTGCTACTTTGTCATGCCACTGCTTGTAGTCAGTCTGTGCAATCTTCTTGCAACAGCTTACCAAGTGGTCCACTGTTTCTTCAGCTTCTTTGCATAGGCGTCACTTACTGTCTGTTGCTGTCTTCTCAATTTTGACTTTGTATGCATTTGTCCTTAAGGCTTGGTCTTGTGCAGCCAGAATTAGTCCCTCGGTCTCTTTCTTCAATTTTCCTGCTCTTAGCCATTGCCAGGTTTTATTATTATCGGCTTTCCCAGCTATTTTTTTCATGTATTGGCCATGTAGTGCTTTGTCTTCCCATGCCTCTATTCTGTTCTTCATTTGGTCTTTCTTGTAGGCCAGTTTGATCTCTCCAGTAGTTAGTAAGCCTTCCTGATATACTAATTTCAGTGCATCTTCATCATTGTTCTTCAGATATTCTTCCAAAGACATTTTTCTTCTTCAACCATCTGATGTACTTGTAGCAGTCCACGCCCATCTATTTGCCTTGGTAGATAAAGTCTATCAATGTCACTGCGTGGATGAAGGGCATGATTCATTGTCATTATTTTTCTGGTCTGCCTATCCATTGCTTTTAGTTCTTCTTGAGTCCAGTCCACTATTCCAGCTGTGTACCTAATGACTGGGATTGCCCAGGTGTTGATTGCCTTTATGGTATTTCCTCCATTGAGTTTGGACTTTAAGATTTTCTTCACTCTCTTGATGTATTCACCTCTAATCTTTTTCTTGACTTCATTGTGCTTGATGTTGTCAGCTTGAAGGATACCCAAGTATTTGTAGTACTCTTCCTCATCCAGACTCTTAATGTTATTTTCGTGGGGCATCTTGATTCCTTCAGTTTTCACTATTTTTCCTTGTTTGATAGTAAGTGTGGCACATTTGTCCAAGCCAAACTCCATTACAATATCTTGGCTATATATACGGACAGTGTTGAGCAGCGATTCTATTTCAGATGATGTTTTTCCATACAGCTTCAGATCATCCATGTAAAGGAGGTGGGATAGTCTAGCAGATGTTTTTGATGTTTGATAGCCATGTCCTGAGTTATTCAGTATTGTTGACAGAGGAAACAGTGCAATAACAAATAGTAATGGTGATAATGAATCTCCTTGAAATATTCCTCTCTTGATATTAACCTCTCCCAGCTCTCACCATTGATCTGCAACTGTGTCTTCCATTGTGCCATCGATCTTTGCACAAATTTTCTGATGTTTCTACTGACTCCTGTTATTTCTAGGCACTTGATTATCCAATCATGTGGCAGAGAGTCAAATGCCTTTTTGTAGTCAATCCATGCCACATTCAGGTTGGTCTTCCTTCTCTTGCAGTTTTCCAAGATCATTTTGTCTATTAGGAGTTGATCTTTTGTTCCTCTGCTATTGGGGCGGTTTCCTTTCTGCTCAGGTGGAAAGAGATTGTTTTCAACTAGATGCTGTTGTACTGCATCAGCTACCACACCAGTTAGTAATTTGAAAGTTGTTGGTAAGCAGGTAATTGGCCTGTAGTTACCTGGTGTTGCCCCTTTTGCTGGATTTTTCATTATTAGGTAGGTTTTCCCAGTTGTTAGCCACTTTTCAATTTCTCCTCCTTGTAGTATATTGTTGAATTGCTTGGCAATGAGTGGGTGTATAACAGTTAGATGTTTCAACCAAAACCCATGCAGTTCATCTTCACCTGGTGCTGACCAATTTTTGATTTTCTTTGCTCTTTTTTCTACCATTTTTGTTGTTATTACTAGTTCTTTCATTTCAACTTCTGTTTTATTTGCATCCACCTCTTTTAACCAAGCTGCATCCTTGTTGTATTTCTTTGGGTTATCCCATAT